GGGGCGCATTGAGGGACCTGGCCTTGGGGCAGCAGAGAGTAAATCTGGGTGTTGGGATTTGCATGTGCCCATTTGAGCCAATGGCCATCACGAGGCTGCAGCATAAAATCCAAAAGGTCATCTACTGTAGAAAAGGTATGTTGCCCACTTTCCCTGCCAAGATTGGCTCAGTCCAACCTTGGGTACTGCAAACAGAAAATCATTTAGGAAATACTCTTCCTAAATTTGTATCTGGTCAGAAAACCGGGGTAGTAATTCCCATACAGCCGTGTCAATACAAACATTGACTCAAGGATGAGGATTCGCCTTCAAACAGAGAAGTCATCGCAGAACCATGGTGAATGTTTTGTAAAGCACACTGACATTTTCTAATGAGAACTTCAAAATGTTGCTACACTAATGTAAACGATCAATCAACTGGTACTTTGCCTGCAGGGTGCTGGAGGAAGAGGAGGAGGGTGAGAGGAAACATGACAGCCAGCAGTCCAGAGTCCACTTCTCATCGACTATGGTTCCTCACACCCCGCTTGAAACTCTTATGAAGATACAGAATACGAAAGAAAGAACAGGTGAGATGTTCAGAGTCTTGAAGAAACAAAAGCTTTGGGACGGCAGCTTCTCAAGACAGGAAGTTGGGGAAAATCTGCAACAGGATCACAGATGGACTTTTAGTAGGGAGGGGGGGAGGGGGGGACTAGAAGCTTTGTCATGGTCATATTTCCTGGTAATACATAAGAAAATAAAATATGTCCGCCATACTTCCCTTGGTAACCTCCATCTTGGTTTCCTCACAGGCTTTTTGGAGAACCCAATGCTGTTGACGAAGCGCCGGATGTCTCGTTCGCAGGAGGATTTAACGATGTTCCCCACTATCGCACACCACAGAGGAGCGTTGCCCCGAATATTGCCCCTCTTCTTTCATGATTCACCCTTTCATTCTACGTAAATGTTAATCCTGTTATCATAATAGACCCCCCCCCCCTCCACCAGCAAGGTATACCCGCCCATCCACGCTCCACCACCACCTTCCTGCTGCAGGGGTCCAATCTGGGTAAGCCCCAGTGTCAGAGGGTGTCTTACGTGACACTGTTTTGCGCTGGCGGTGGGCCGCCCAGGCTTGAGCAGGGTCTGGAGGAGGAGGTCCATGGATCCCCAGTACCTAGGGTCCCCTTTCCTTGGAGAAGGGGTAGGCAGCCCTGGAGAAATGGAGATCTACCTGGACGACATGGAAGAAATCAGAGATCACCAGGGTGCAGCACACTAACCTAGCAAGGCTTCATTATAGAGTAAGGAATGTTTTGAAGAGTTCAGAGATCAATAATCGGTAATGCAGAGTGTAGAGGTCAGGAGGAAAGCAGGGTGTAGAGGTCAGGAGGAAAGCAGGGTGTAGAGGTCAGGAGGAAAGCAGGGTGTAGAGGTCGGGAGGAAAGCAGGGTGTAGAGGTCGGGAGGAAAGCAGGGTGTAGAGGTCGGGAGGAAAGCAGGGTGCAGAGGCCGGGAGGAGTGCAGAGGTCGGGAGGAGTGCAGAGGTCGGGAGGAATGCAGAGTGTAGAGGTCGGGAGGAATGCAGAGTGTAGAGGTCAGGAGGAATGCAGAGTGTAGAGGTCAGGAGGAAAGCAGAGTGTAGAGGTCAGGAGGAAAGCAGAGTGTAGGGGGTCAGCAGTGTGTAACACTAAGGGCAGAGGTCAGGAGTAAGTAGTGCAGAAGTCACTAGCATCTAACGCAAAGTGCAAGGGTCAGGAGAAAGTAACAAATAGTGCAAAGGTCAGAAGTAAGTAATGGAGAGTGCAGGAATCAGTAGTGTGTAACACTGAGGGCAGGGGTCAGGAGTAATGCAGAGTTCAGAGGCCATAAGTTTGCAATGCAAAGTGCAAGGGTCCGGGGTAATGCAGAGGTCAGTAGTATGTAACACAGAGTGCAGGGGACAGGAGTTAGTAATGCAGAGTGGTGAAATCAGTAGTATGTAGCACAGAGTGGAGAATAAGTAATGCAGAGTTTAGAGATTAGCAGTAGTATGTAATGCAGAGTGCATGGGTTAGGAGCAAGTAAGGCAGAGTCCAGGGGTCAGTAGTAAGTAACACAGAGTCTAGAGGTCAGTAGTGTGAAAAAGAGTCCAGGAGTCAGTGGTATGTTACATACAGTGCAGGGGTCAGGAGTAAGCAATGCAGGGGGTCAGGAGTATGTAGCACACAGTGCACAGGTCAGTGGTATGTAACACAGAGTGCAGGGATCAGGATAAACTCAGAGGTCAGGAATAACTGGTACGCATCTCCCCCATCCCACAAGAGCAAGAGCCCTAATTAGGGATGCTCCGATACCAGCATCGGTATCGGTGGCGATACCGAGTATTTGCATGGGTACTCGTACGTACGCAAATACTCCGATACAAAAAACGAGTACCTGTGCCGCGTCCGCCATCTTCAAGGACCCGAAACCGCCGCACACAGGACCTCCATAGCGTCTTCAATGAAACAAGATGGCCGCGAACTCCTCCTCCAAGTCCTCAGTCATCTGCTCCATTCTGACCTCTTCTCCCGCTGATTGGATGATTGACAGGCTTCCTCACCAGTCAGGAGTGACTGGTGAGGAAGCCTGTCATCATCCAATCGGCCAATCAGCGTGAGAAGAGGTCAGAATGGAGCAGATGACTAGGCTGTGACACGGAGTGGCTGAAGCAGACGGAGAAGACGACACAGCAGGTTAGTACTGCAGCACCGCATGGGGGCTGGGCACAAAAATGCTGTTTAACGGCATATATAATATTGAAAAAAAACTTAAAAAGACATTAAATAAAGAAATAACTATGTAGATATTGCTAACTTAGGCTTGTATCCCCCTAGTGGGGAAAATAGATGTGCACATGTCCAAGCTCCAGACCAGAACACTGTATAGTGTGGCACAGCTATATCCAATTCTGCATACCTGGCGTTATATTATAAGAACTGTATAATATAAAGCCAGGTATGCAGAATTGGATATAGCTGTGCCACACTATACAGTGTTCTGGTCTGGAGTCTGGACATGTGCTCATCTATTTTCCCCACTAGGGGGATACAAGCCTTAGTTAGCAATGGCATGGTAAATATTCATTTCATGTTCTACTTAATATGAAGAAACTGACCTAAAATCATGATTTTGTATTGCTTTAGAAAAAATGTGGCCTGTCCCTTTAAGAAAAAGTATCTGTAATTGGTATCGGCGAGTACTTGAAAAAAAGTATCGGTACTCGTACTCGGTCTTAAAAAGTGCTATCGGAGCATCCCTAGCCCTAATGGAGCAGGGAGGGGGCAAGGGAGTGTGGATGAAGTATAACTTACTGGGGGGTGGTATCGAAGATGCTGTCACTTTATTATTATGTTAATTGACAGTGTCTCTTAAAGGAAAACACGGTTATCCTTGGTTAACCCCCCCCGCCCTACAAAACATCTCCCTTTCGGAGAAGAGGGGTAGGTGTTCTGTAGTCCTAGGGTGACAACGCTGCCCCAACGCTGCCTTAGATGCAGTACATTGAGTGAGCATTGTCACTGTAGGCCAGGAAGTGTGATACTGACGGGATGACCAGGTGAAAATAAACCAGTTGGGTCCATGCAACATATTCTCATCTATGAGTTCCTTTTATGATACTTTTTTTGCAGCATTTTGTATGAATATATAAATAAAAATGTAATCTTTACTAAAAATGAACAAATGTTGTAAAATGTATTCTTCCTCTCATATACCATGTAC